CAGCTCTTCCCTGGGGCTATTAGTATAGGACACTCTATCCCAGAACTTTCAGGAGACAAGGATCTGCTGAGGCAGGTCATTTTTAAGGGGCATCAATACCATAGATCAGCACTCAAAGAGTACACCTGATGACGCAGTGGGCTTGCAAGAAGAGTAATTGCTCCTTCTGAAAAATAAGCAATAAAAATGGCTATTTGTATGCAGCCTCATCTTTATTAATGATCATAATAATAGGCGGTGCTTATGGAGCAAATTCTGTTCTAGGCAGAGTTCTAGACACTTTTCAGTTAGCAAAATCTATTCATGGGTTTTTTTCACTCATCTCACAAACACCCTATGACTCATCCAGGAAAATAATGTTTTCCTATAAAAGATAAAGAAACAGAGGTCATGTTTAAATATTAGTACTTTGTCATGGTTGATTTTATTTAATTCTCTGCTGACCTGAAAAATAGGTATTGTCACTTCCAGATAGCAGAAGAGGAAACAGAGGCTCAAAAGGCTTAAGGATCTACAAGAGTAAGTCTATGGCAAGGCTTGAACTGAACCCAGGCAACCTTTCCTCCTAACCTGTGTATTATTTTCATTATTACTGTTGGTATCTCTGGATCATTTTTTCAGGACATAACATTTTTAGACTAGTGAGTGGCGTAGATGGCCTCATCCAGGAGGGGTATGGTATAGGATTGGGCTCCCGGGGATCAGGTTAAAAATAGGAAGATCTTTCTGAGCTCAGAGGGGTGAGTCTTTATGTCAGTTCTGTCATGGAACCCTACTGACCCTCTGGCCCCCAAGTTGCTCAGGGTTCCCCACTTTGCACTCCTGAATGAGTCATGCTTCACTGTCCTGTTTGCCTCCTTCCTTCAACTTCCAACAGATTCTGTTGACTGCTCCGTTCCCCGTTTTGGAGCCTTGAATCTTCTGGGTCATGCTGTGGTTTAATAAGTGATAAGGTCCATGTGTTGAAGATTTGGTCCTTCTGGGGGCGCTGTTGGAAGGCAGTGGAACATTATGGAGGTGGAGCTTAATGAGAGGTCTTTAGGTCATTGAGGGTGTGTCTTCACAGAGGATTGTGAGTTTATGCCCCTTCCTTTTTCTCTTGCTTCCTGGCCATAGATCTTGCTGTGTCTCCTTGATATTATCATGCACCACCACCAAAGACCCAAAGCAATGGGTCTGCCCAAATCTGGACTATAGTCTCTAAAATTGTGAGACAAAATAAACCTTTTTTCTTCATTAGCTAATTACCTCATACATTTTGTTATTGTAGTAGACAACTGACAAATGCAAGCCAATCCAATTAAATGACTGGCATCCAGGCAGTGATTACCGGATACTCAGTAAGAAGATGCAGTGCAGAGGAGACCACATGGCACTGAACAGCCAAGCAGGAAAGGGTTGTATCCCACCATATCACATCCTTAGAACTTTTGCATAACACTTGGCCTCTCTAAGTCTCAGTTTCCTCATCCATCATGACAGAGATAATAATTGCTAAGTCTCCATGTATTGAAGCACTTCCTAGATGCTAAGGCTCCCTGGCAACAGGCAGGATGACTAGCCTTGCACAAAATGACTTGCAAAAACAATCATGATTCTTGCCTTGAGAGCCTCTGTGCTTTGCTTCCAGGACACCGAGTGCCTGACATGGGAATTCCTATCTTTCTTGAGGTGGGCCATGACTGGAGGGTCTGTCTCTCTCCCTATGAAGAAATAAGCTCCCTACTCCACACCTGAGTTCCTTTCCCAGGCTGTTGTGACTGTCATGGGCTTGGTTTGGGGGTGTATCTTCGGAAAGCAGCACCCTCTTGTGTCATGAAGCAAGTCTTTCAAGGAAAGCATAGATCCACCTCCAGAAACCACAGCAGCCCCCAAACAAAGAGGTCACCTCTAAGTCTCAATTTCTCTGCCTATCAAATGAGTGGTTAATAAGACCTCTAAGGGTCCTTCCAGCTTTAAAACTTTATGGCTCCTCAAAGACTAAACAAAACAAAACAGAATGCCGGGAACAAATAAATTCATCAAAATGAAAAAATATAATTCTGTTCTTAGGCACAGGCATTGGAGGGAAGCCAGGAAATGATGACACAGCCCTCACGTGCAAAAGCAGTGTTGCCATCAACTTCTTTTCTCCTGCCTTGGCCCCACTGCCGCTGCTACTTCACTGTGCTCAGGAAGACCCAGCAGGATGGCCAGACCCCTTGTACAGAGATGGGATTGTGAGGGTGACAAGATGGAAGGGCACCTGTTTATTGACCGTTTGGGGTGCTAAGTTCCTCCCACTGTGGCTATCACAGGCACCTTTGTAGACTGTCTTGCCCCAGTGGCCTTTCTGGGTAGAGGGAAAACTAGATCCACCTCTGAGGTAGGGGATGGAGCTGTGCTCTACAGTTGCAGGGAGTTCTTCTCATCACCATTTGCAGCACAGTCTTGAACCACTATGCAGCCCTTCACAGAACTGTATCCTCCACACTAAAATGGTCGTCGGGGCTCTGTCTACTTCAACAGCTTTTCTTTGCATGCATTTTTATAAAATGAACTTGTAAGTGCTCAGTTAGGTCTAAAGGAATTTGCCCCGTGCAAATTCCAGGTCTCATCATTGCTGACAGCACATCTGTATTTGAGGCCTTGGCTAGCCTACCCAGATTCTGGTACCTTGATGATGTTGGTCTTGATCCTAGATGCTGTCAGAGCTCCCCGCATCTGGCAGCAGCTGGAGGGAAATTGGGGATCCCTGTCCCCAGCAGCTGGGGTTGGAGCTCAGAAATCCCCAGCCCAGAAAACCCGTGGGAAGTCTGCATGGAGAGTTCCACTTACCTCCAGCACAGCTTAGCAGAATTGTCAGAGCAGCTGAACCTGGGCACATGGGGTCCTTTTACCCTGTGAGAGGAATTTGTAACTTGTAAGGACAGGCCGGGCAACTGCAGAGGAGAAAGTAAAATCTCCCCTGGAGATGTCACTGTCTTTTCCTACTTCCCAGTGGGCATGAATAGAATCTCAAGCCATCTACAAGGGATGCCTTACACCTCTCTGTGCTGAAGCCAGCTGCTTCCTTGGGATGAAGCCTCTATTAGAAAACAAATGCCAGGATTCTACCAATCTCAGGCTCTCTGCCTACCATATGCAAAACCAAAAATATTTTGGGATACAAATCGGCACCCCTGCAGAAGCATGACCAATTGCCCTAGAAATTCAGAAACCAAGCAGGCCCAGGCTCCATTCTAAGCCACAGTTTGGGTGGCACCCCCTGCAGTCAACTGAGCTATTCAGTCTTGAAGCTCTTACCCCATGTCAGAAATGTTGGTGGCCCTGGGAAGAAGAACAGAGTGAGCTCCTGACCATCAGGAAAAGCTAATATAGCTGTGCTTGTCAGTGTCAGGCAGCCAGCTTGGTTTCCATCTGAAAGAGTTCATTTCAGACACAGTGTTTGCCACCGTCTCTAGATAAACTGAAAATGTTTGGAAGTCATGAAGACAAATGACTTTCTAATTCCTCTGGTAGCTCGAAGGGCAGGAGCATACAGCAGGATGACTAACCCTCCCTGCCTCTCTCCACAGGCTCCACACAACTGCCTTCCTTGGACCAGCTGCCTTTGAGGACATTCAAGTCTTGAATGCTAATAAGGAGCTGAAGCTCTGAGACCTGACCAAGTGTTATGAGGAGACTGATGCTACAGTTTCTTTTCCTAAGGGTCCCATGCGGCCAAGCTCCTCCTTCTTCCTTGGAGTGACTCTGGCTGCTGAGATCATCCACTCCAGGTCTCGATGCAGTTGCCATTCCTCTGCTGTGCCTCCTCCTGGTGCCTCACCCTGGCTGACAATGCAGACTTCATCCCCCTCATGCCTTTCCTGGCACAGCCAAGCTTCTGGTGAGAAGGATGATGCTGGGTGGAATGGCAGGTAGCTTTGGTTTGGGGACCCTGACTAGGTGCAGGTTGGAGGAGCACCACGTCTGAGATGCAGAGTGCTGCAGAGCAGGGAGTGCTTGCTGACTAAGACACTGATCATTAGGACAGCAAGAGGTCGCTGCAAAGTGCTAGAGGCCAGTGCCACCTGCTTGGATCCCTCCTCTCTCTCCCTCTCTATTGCTACTCAACTTCCAGCCTCTCAAGCTTGCACATTTTCTTTTGTTAGTTCCCAGGTACCTGCTTGCTCTCTGCATGATCCACAGAAAGTTGCTTGCCTGAGCCTTTCTTTTATAAGCTGCCTCCTTTCTTTTACAAGAAAGAAAGTGAACTAGTGGCTCTCGGGAGCACCTCATTGCTCTGACAACTGATGATTGGACAACGTTAGGCTTTCTTTCTCTAAAGTTTCAGAATGGGACCTAGAAAGCATTAAAAAAAAGTGTTTTTGTAAATATGGAATAGTTTCTATGGTGTGAGAAACTGAAAGTGTAAATAAGGATCAAAATGTAAAACTGATAATGTGAAATAGGAGGAAAAGGTCTAAAGGGGTAGTGGAAGTGGGAGGGGCAGGGGAAAGGAAAGAAGGGAAAGGAATAAATATGAGAAAAGAAAAAAATAGAAACAAAGTCTTTGTAAATAGGGAAGAGTGAAGGGGGTGAAGGAGGGCAGGGGAATGGGGAAAAATAAGAGCCAAGACCCGTCATGTAAAGGTACAAGATCCCAGTGGTGACTGTCATCATGTTGTATACCTAAAATGTACCAATAAACTTAATGAAATTTTAAAAAACAAGTGTTAATGGTCATTTCCTTTCTTTTTTATTTTCATTAGCCCATGTGTGCAGTTCATAAATTTTCATTGCTTGTGGGGAGTTGGTACATGTACATAACACATCTTAATTCCTTCTTTCATCCCCTTTCCTTCTCCTCCTCCCCCTTCCTTCATCTCTTGATTCCCTTATCATTTGATAAAGATCTCAATCTCTCTCTCTCTCTCTCTCTCTCTCTCTCTCTGTCCTATTATCTATCTTTCATTTTGCTCATTATTTATATTTTGGATCTATTATATAAGAGAAATCACACAGTATTTAATCTTGTGTGTATTATTCTTGCAGAAAGGGGGTTTTGCATAGATTAATTGTTCTTCTGATTTCATGACAGTGAGAACTCTCCTGGTAGGACACTGAAGGTCTGGGATCATGCTGCAAATGTGTCACTTTTGAGTCTCTAGGTCCTCCCCTCACTTTCTCCTTTGAGGGGGTGGTCTGGCTGTAGGCAAGACTCTGGCTTGAGCTGTTTTGTCACGCACACAGCCAAGGGATGGTCTGCAGTAGCCTCCTCTTAAAATAGCACCCAGGAGCCAGGACAGAGACTGAGCAGAAGGCTGCTGGAGTCACTGTTGTTCTCCACCCATGGGGCTAAAGGAAGAGAAAGAAAGCCTTCTGTCCATTTTCTCCAGGAGGTGTCAAGCATCAGGAGAAGCACTGTAGGGAGACACAGAAGCAGAGGACAGGTTAAGTCCATGGCATAGAAATGTCCCTATGCCTGCAGGTCTCCCAGATGGGTGAGTAATGCATATATCTTTAATTGTCTATTAATTATTGTTAGACTAGACAGTGAAATAGCAAAGCTGTTGAAAGAAAGGAGAACAAATAACCTAACTGTTGGCTAATGTAGATAGATGAATTGTATGTGTCTGCAACTTCCTTTCAGCCAAAGCAAGAAAGGAAATAAGATGGATTTGCACAACTCTGATCTCATAGAAGCAAAGATGGCATCTTCGAGAGAGGCAAAAGAGTCACCTCTCTCCCACAACAGGACTCGGGGAGGAACTGGAACACGTGTTGTAGAACCTTTGCAACAAGTAGCGGATGAGGTCACCCACTGACACTGAGGAACGTGGGAGCCAGAAGGTAATAAACAGAGAGAAGTGTGCTGGGCCAGGCAACCTGAACGTGGCTGGTTATTTGGACAGAGCTGAGGCTGGGCCACGTACCAGCCCTTGCCCTCCCTCCCCTGCTGCTTCCGCAGATTCCTGGCCCCACGCTGAGCGGAGGAGGGAGAGGGCTGGTATGGGAGCAGGAAGCACAGTGCAGAACCTAAGCAGTTGGGAGACAGAGGGGAAGCTGGGAGGAAGTAAACTGAATTTCTATTTCTTGTTTGCACTGTTAAAATGTTCCTTTAATGTGAACGCCTTTCTGTTAAATGAGGGGGAAAGCGAACTCCACGACAAGGAGAGCCGTAAAACAAAGCAAACAAAAGGCGGAAACCACCGACATGGGTTTTGTTGCTATAGATATGCGGGGACAGAGAGCAGGGCTGATGCATGGATGGAAGAAGCACTTAGAGCAAAGAGGCTGAGACGCAGAAAAGGAGACGGCGAGCACAGAGAGGGAAACAGTCATCTCCAGAAATTTGCCGGAGTCAAGTCAAGTGGCTCAAGATACAATAGCCAAGTTAGGTGCCACTTACGGGGGAGATGCCAGAGACAGGAAATCTGAGGGTAAGAAAAACAGACAGGACTTTCAGTCCATCCTATGTCATGTGTGTGTCCCATGGCTCGGTTCTGGTGACACCAGGCAGCAGGGAGGATCCAGAGGCCAGGACAGTGTGAAGCCATTGGATGGGAAATTTTTAAAAAATCAATAAATAAATCTGAGAACCATGTTCCATATTCAATCCAGCACTCCAACAGTCTCTCTCTGTCTCTCTCTCTCTCTCTGTCTCTCTCTCTCTTCCTCTCTCCCTCCCTCTCGCTCTTTCTCTTTCCCTCTCCCCATCCTCAAAACGGACCAACTAAGTTACAATTGCAAGAGACATGTAGAAGTAAACCTGTCTTGATGTAGGTAGAGAGGAGCATAAATTTTGTGTGGAGCCAATAAAATGAAGCCACTCTCCTCCAGGAACGGGGCCGGTTATTGCATCAAAGGTGACTGAGAGCACATAAGGCCTATAAATTCTGGTGTTTATGGAGACTTTCCTCATTCGTGCTGTAGGTAATTCAATTGTGGGGGGCCATGTCTTATAACCTCCAGGGGCTTCCCCATAAAGTCCCTGGGCCAGCAGAGTGAGGGATAAAGATTCCATTAGAGGCCAGGCCCAGCGCTGTAGGACTCACTGCCCACGCAGATCCTGCTAAGCGGCTCCACGTCTGTCCAAATTCCAGTCACGGTTATGCTTTAGGGCTGGGTTGCTCTGCAGAGGCCACCAGGGAAGTTGGGACAGGTGTGGCACTTCTGAGTCATGCTCGAGCTTCAGGAAGCTGGGGTTTGGAATGAACATGAGGCTCAGACATCAACCCTTCCGTGTCCTACTGTCCTCAGACTAGAACAAACATTCGGTGCTCAGGCACATCCTTGAACTGGCTCCAGCCCTCTTTCAACTCTCCGTGCCACCTCTCAGAGTTAGCTATGCTCCCCGTTTCTTTGCTAAGAGGGGACGGCATGGCCTCAGTCCACTGGACCACATCTTTCCTAATGCAGCTCCTTTTCCTGGAATGCTGCTTTCCCCAGGTCCTCTTCAAGCACTGTGTAGTGTTTGTTTGGCCTCTGCAGGCAGTCTCCAGTCTCCAGTCTTCCCTCGGCTGGGCTGAAGCAACCCTTGCTCCTGTGGCCTGGCACGGGGTCTAGCAGAGGGTCCTCTGCCAGGCCAGGAAGTGCCCAAGTGCCAGGGCCCCTGGCTCTTCTCTGCAGTAGCCCTTTGATTGGTGACCACAGTGGTGCCTTGAAGGTAGAAAGTGATGGGTATGCGACTGCAAGGAGGAAAGTCAGGAGCTGTGGGGAGCACAGAGGTCCTCCTGACTTCTGCGTCACAGCCTCCCCATCCCCATGGGCAATGAAGACAAAGGGAGTCCAGCCTGGGTGAGGGTCTGGGCACCCCCATCTGCCTGACCCTTCTCCAGCCCTCACGGCCACCTCCACTCTTCTGGGGGCCACCAGGACAGAAGCCAAAGGTACTCTACTCCTTTGTTCCTTATATCTTCTGTCTAGGAGAAAGCCGGGAAACCTAAGCAACCTCTCTACACCCAGCTGACAAGGTTCGATAGTCAAACAGCCCTCAGGGCAGAGAGGCACCCTCTTTGTTCTGGCCTCCTCACTGCGCTCTCTTGGGTCTATAGTTACCTGATACACTGTGAGTCTTGCTTTTTATTTTGCTCCCTCCTTTGGCTAGAAGGCAGACACGTCTGTCCTTTGGTTTACTGCTTTATGCTGGCACACGGAGGGGCCTCGTGGGTGATGGAGAATAAATGAACGATGAATGAGTGAGTGAATGTGGTTCTCAGGCTGGCAGGCCACTATTTCCTTCTGGAGAAGACTTGAAACCCCATCTCCACGCAGCCTGGGATCAAAGACTTGGCAGAAGTCTCCTGTTATTTATTGGGTGTGTATGGGTGGCATCTCACTGTCCTTTCAGCTCCTACCTCTGGCCCCTGCCAACTCCAGACCCTCCGCCCCCAACTCCCAGCTCTCCAGCTGTCCCAGGAGTGCACAGCTCCTCCTTGCTCAGCCACGGCCTGCTTCTGAGCTCCCCGTCACCATACATGGGTACTGGCTCTCTCACTGGCTTAAGCTCCCTGTACGTCAGTGCTTCGGGCTTCTCGCTAACCTCTTTCAGTGGCTTGCTTGGCATAAAATGCTGGCCAAGGCAGAGGGGCTGAAACTCACAAGCCTCAGAGGGAGACGTCAGCATGGAGGCCTCTTAGGGACTCTTCCCCACCTTCCTTAGAGGTCAAAAATGTTAATCGCATTGAAAGAATCAGGGAGATGAGGCCCATCAGTGATCTTGACCAAGTCACAAAGCTGATAAGGAACAGAGCTTCAGTGTGGGTTCCTTTGACTCCACAGGGCAGTCTCTTTCAAACAGTCATGATGACATGAAGCATCCCGAGGAACAGGAAAGACTAACAGTTACTTATTAATTAATCTTGATGCATGTGATTTAAAGTATGAACATTTTGGAATTTCCACAATGTTGGATGTGACCATCTAGCTGAAATGGCACAAACGTGTCTCCCAAGAGTTTCAACGACAGAAACAGGGTTTGAGCTATCATATAAGGCCCAATGTACAGGTGAGGAAACTGAGGCTGGAGAGAGAAACGGCTGCATTAATTCTCACAAATCACAATAAGCAGAATGGACCCCAGGCTTCCGAACTGTGCTGGTCTCTCAGGCCTGCTTCTCAAAGGGAAACAGGTCACTCTTGACTCATGCACAGAGTCTGGGAGTGGCTTGAGATAGGGGTGCCCTGAGCACCAGGGGAGACTGGTCCCGAGTCCCAGGGAAAGAAGACTCAGAGTTAAGGGCCAGAGGGTGGTGATTGGTGGCACATTATGGAAGAAGAGGAAGGGACCCTTCAAACACCACCCTGGCTTCCACCTGGGGTCCAGACCAGCTCTATCTACCCTGGTTTCTAAGAGCTGCCTTTCTTTCCAAAGTGGAGCGGTGACAAAATGGGAAAGTGGAAGGTGCCTGGACAAAATCACACCACACACTCTGGCAGGGCAAGGTGTAAATCAGGCTGCTTCTGGGAGCCAGCCCAGGGGCGGAGCATCTGTGGGCTTCTCTGGGAACCTGGCTTTTGTTCTGTTTCTGCCTTATAAGCAGACCTGCCCACGTAGGATCTAGACATCCGTGTGTTTGATTTACACCTTTAATACTGCCAGCTTCATTTAGCCAGTCTGGGAAACACATTTCAGCGTGTGAAGCTGGATCTTTTCTTTTCTCGTCCATCCTCTCTAGACATTAATTTTGACGCCAGGGTTTGTCATTGTTGTTTTCCCAGCTCCTTGTTGGACAGGTCTATTCTTCTGCTTCACACAATGTGTGGGCTGAGCCCAGCTCCCCAAGGGATAGCCTGAAGGCCTCTCTGGGGAAGAGGACCAGGAGAACAAGCAGGGCAGCCCTTGGGGAAGGTTAGGCATGGACCTTGAGATCTTAAAATGCACCACAAAAGGCACTGTAGGCATCCTAGTGATCATCCTCCCCCACCTCTCTCAGAGACAGAGCACCCTTATCCAAATACATACACTGCGAACCCGCATGCAGGGAAGCTCACAGAAATGCTCACAAATGGTCTTACTATTACCCCCTGGGTGGAAAGGTAAGGGAGTTCCTTGCAGTGGAGCTTCTTCTTTGATAGAGGTGTGAAGCAACGAAATATTTTGTACATTTCTTTTTTATCCCAAGATACCCTTAATCATTTTCCACAGCAACAAACAGCAGCATGGTGCACTTGATAGCTTGCCAGCCCTTATTATCTCCATGGGTCCCCCAGGGCCCTGTTCATTTTCTTTTCATGGATTCTCCATGAGTTATACATCAAACCATGCTCTTCCAATTCTTTTAGATTTCTTACTTTCAAGTTGAGTTGTCTTAGTTTTGCTGTATTTCTTTCATGGACGGTTTTCATCTTTTGTCACTTGTTCTTAGTTCTTTTCATAAGATTTTGCATCCAGCCCCCAAACGGACATACAGACCCCTCCT